TCGAACAAAGTGTATGAACGAGCAAGTAATAACATTCAACAAAGTCTGTGAACGTGCAAGTAATAACATTCAACAAAGTCTGTGAACGAGCAAGTAATAACATTCAACAAAGTCTGTGAACGTGCAAATAATAACATTCAACAAAGTGTGTGAACGTGCAAGTAATAACCTTCAACAAAGTCTGGAACGTGCAAGTAACAACTTTCAACAAAGTTGTGAACGTGCAATTAATAACATTCAACAAAGTCTGTGAACGTTCAAATAATAACATCAACAAAGTCTGTGAACGTGCAAGTAATAACATCGAACAAAGTGTGTGAACGTGCAAGTAATAACATTCAACAAAGTCTGTGAACGAGCAAGTAATAACATTCAACAAAGTCTGTGAACGTGCAAATAAGAACATCGAACAAAACGTGTGTGAACGTGCAAGTAATAACATTCAACAAAGTGTGTGAACGTGCAAGTAATAACATTCAACAAAGTCTGTGAACGTGCAAGTAATAACATCGAACAAAGTCTGTGAACGTGCAAGTATTGAACCAAAGATATCAATATACGATATGAAATGGTTATATTCTACCAGCTACACCGTAACATCAAACTTTCCACAAGAGATAGAACTGATGTATTATAAAAACTGCAGTCATCATTTTTAGGTATTATTGAGGTTTTGTTTGTGTATTGAAGTTTAATCAAACATAATATTCAAAATCAGTATTAAATTTCCTTTAAGTTAACCATTGAGACACTGGAGGGGGGATATGTTTATATACCACGTTATAAAATTGAGACACTAGTGTGCGTGTATGGGATATGCTTATATCCCACGTTATAAAAATGAGACACTGGTGGGGGATATATTTTTATACCACGTTATAAAAATGACACACTCGTGTGTGGTGATATGTTTATATACCACGTTATAAAAATGAGACACTGGTAGGGTGATATGTTTATATACCACGTTATAGAAATTAGACATTGGTGGAGGGATATGTTTATATACCACTTTACAAAATTGAGACACTGGTGTGTGTGTGTGGGATATGTTTATATACCACGTTATAAAAATGAGACACTAGTGTGCGTGTGTGGGATATACTTATATACCACGCTATGAAAATGAAACACTAGTGATGGATATATTTATATACCACGTTATAAAAATGAGACATTGATAGGGGGATATTTTTATATACCACGTTATAGAAATGAGACACTGGTGTGAGGAGATATGTTTATGTACCATGCTAAAAAAATGTGACACTGATGGAGGGGATATGTTTATATACCACGTTATAAAAATGTGACACTGGGGGGGGGGTGGATATTTTTATATAAATACCTCTATTTTAGAGAAACTGCGCTTAACACGGGGGCCCCCAGTGACTCAGCGATAAGTCTGAAGGCTAATATCGCTAAAAACCGGGTTTAGATACCCGTGGTGGACACAGCATAAATAGCCCATTGTGTAGCTTTGCGCTTAACAACAACCAAGTAAATATAAACATCTTTGGAATGATGTAATAGAGAGCTCGAGAAATTGTTCAAAATTGAAAATGGATACTGATAATAATCAGCAGAGGGCACTACATCCGCTCAATGTGGCCACTATTTATGTCAACAATGATCTGTATCCTTAGATGACGTGATAGACAACTCAACGAAGTTGTCCAATATTAAGCGTTATTAACAGTACTAATCACCAGATGGCGACACCTCCGAGAAATGTGGCCACCATTTGTGTTAACGATGACCTGCGTAAGATGGCATAGTAGAGGGCTCAATGAAGTTGTCCAATATTCATCATGGCTATACGCTATTCCACTTTATGAAATCTTAAGTCAGTTTTGTATCGTGGAGCGCCTATTACTATGACGGACTTGACAGGCGCGAGATTGATCTCATACAACAACATATCAAGAGACATACCACATAATTCAATTTTCCGATAGTTTCATTCATTTACTAATGAATTACTAATTACTAATTAGCTGGAAAACGTGTTGTAGCAATGAGTTCAAATAGAGCAGTGGAACAAGTCGCTGTTGTAGACCTTTCCATCTTGATCCCATTGACCTCGTAGACTTTCCAATGATAGCGTCAGTTCCTTAGGTTTGCTCAGGACAACTCGTCTCGTGTCCTTTGATGCCAAATATCCAAAGAAAATGCTCCTCGATAATAGCATCGCCATCTTTAGTTGCAGATAGATCGCTGTTGTAAGAAACCAAACAGGTTAAATGTATCTCCCACCTGATGTGAAATCAAGCACAATAAAGTAATACTTGACCTTTCCAACAAACGAACCTAGATCTTCTTGTACAGCATTGGATTCAAACTATTCTCCATTTCCTGTCCCACACAGGCTGATGGAGTTCTTTTTTGTATGTTGTTGTATGACAGGATTAAGTAAAAACAAAGTTACTACCTGTGAAACAGTTGGAGATATAAGAACGAGTCAAGAATTTACTACCTGTGAAACAGTTGGAGATATAAGAACGAGTCAAGAATTTACTACCTATGAAACAAGTGAAGATATAAAAACGAGTCAAGAAGCTACTACCTGTGAAACAGTTGGAGATATAAGAACGAGTCAAGAAGCTACTACCTGTGAAACAAGTGAAGATATAAGAACGAGTCAAGAAGCTACTACCTGTGAAACAGTTGGGATTGTTTCACAAGCAGTAGCTTCTTGACTCCTTCTTATATCTTCGATTGTTTCTCAGGTAGTAGCTTCTTGACTCGTTCTTATATCTTCGATTGTTTCACAGGTAGTAGCTTCTTGACTCGTTCTTATATCTTCAATTGTCTCACAGGTAGTAGCTTCTTGACTCCTTCTTTTATCTTCGATTGTTTCACAGGTAGTAGCTTCTTGACTCGTTCTTATATCTTTGATTGTTTCACAAGCAGTAGCTTCTTGACTCCTTCTTACATCTTCGATTGTTTCACAGGTAGTAGCTTCTTGACTCCTTCTTATATCTTCGATTGTTTCACAGGTAGTAGCTTCTTGACTCCTTCTTATATCTTCGATTGTTTCACAGGTAGTAGCTTCTTGACTCCTTCTTATATCTTCGATTGTTTCACAGGTAGTAGCTTCTTGACTCCTTCTTATCTCTCCAACTGTTTCACAGGTAGTAGCTTCTTGACTCTTTCTTATATCTTCGATTGTTTCACAGGTAGTAGCTTCTTGACTTCTTTATATATCTTCGATTGTTTCACAGGTAGTAGCTTCTTGACTCGTTCTCATATCTGAAGATATAAGAAGGAGTCAAGAAGCTACTACCTGTGAAACAATCGAAGATATAAGAAGGAGTCAAGAAGCTACTACCTGTGAAACAGTTGGAGATATAAGAAGGAGTCAAGAAGCTACTATCTGTGAAACAAACGAAGATATAAGAACGAGTCAAGAAGCTACTACCTGTGAAACAAGCGAAGACATGAATACGAGTCAGAAACTACTGGCCCTGAAACAAGCGAGTAAACCATTATTAGAGTTTCCCGCTATGCTGTCTCAGAAATGGAAGGAACCATGGTTTTAAAGAGAAAAGGTAGACAGTAAAAGATCGTATACGTGTGCACGTGATTTGAATGATCCAGCTGAATGGCCTGAAATCGGCTCAATGGTGCGACGGGTGTTTGATGAAAAGTGTTCACTTCAGATACAGACATGTGACTTTTTAACGGCATATCACGACAAATCGCGATTACAGGACAAAGGATCCAACCTTCAGTTACACGTGATTCAACGTTTATTTGTACTGCACACCTAACTTTTCGCTGTCGTCAAACAAAATAAAGGACAAGAAAATATTTCTCAGTAGAGGTGTTTTATTGGTGGAAATCTCTAAATTAAGTAACCAATGTCTGACACTGATGAAACAAGGACCAGAATTACCGTAATAAAAGTTCAGAGAGCTCAGAATGTTGTTTCTCGTGGAAGTCACGAGAAGTTCTTCAAACAAGAAAATGAAAATTGTTCGATTGTTTCACAGGTAGTAGCTTCTTGACTCCTTCTTATATCTTCGATTGTTTCACAGGTAGTAGCTTCTTGACTCCTTCTTATATCTCCAACTGTTTCACAGGTAGTAGCTTCTTGACTCCTTCATATATCTCCAACTGTTTCACAGGTAGTAGCTTCTTGACTCCTTATATCTTCGATTGTCTCACAGGTAGTAGCTTCATGACTCGTTCTTATATCTCCAACTGTTTCACAGGTAGTAGCTTCTTGACTCCTTCTTATATCTTCGATTGTTTCACAGGTAGTAGCTTCTTGACTCGTTTTTATGTCTTCGCTTCTTTCTAATGACGATTTGAAAAACAGACAGAAATAGAACAATCCGTCTCCGAGCTCCCATAGGCTATCTGCAGCAGATGTACTCAATTAGGGTAAACATAACTAAAGAGACGCTGTAGGAACATACAGCGATGTACCAAGTTAGTTAATTTATTAGTAAAATGATTTTAATTTGAAGTCTCGCTACTCTGCCCTCCCGATAACATCTGCCGGGATCAAACGGCTGGACTTTCACACTACGCCACCTACAGCTATCTCACACAATATTGTTTCTTTAACATAAGATTATCAGAACATTTTATGTTGATAAGCGCAAAGTTACAAATGGATACACGTTCTGTGCCTGCCACGGGTATAGAAATCTGCTTTTTAGCGCTATAAGTTTTCAAACTGACCGCTGAGCCACTGGGGGAGGGTTATTACCAGAAGATAAGTGTTGATGAATCATATTAAGATGAGTTTATCACAAGCTAAAGTGTTCAAGAATCATGCAGACGTGAGTATATTAGAAGTTAAAGTGTTCATGAATTATGTTAACGTGAGTTTATCGGAAGTTAAAGTGCTCTTGAATTATGGATATGACTCAAAAATAATATATGGGTGTTTCACTCATGCAAATAGCCATCGAGACGAATGGAAGCTAGCCAATCACAACAGGCTGTTACTTGTTACTTATAGGGGTCTGACAGAATTGTTGGAAGCTAGCCAATCACAACAGGCTGTTACTTATAGGGGTCTGACAGAATTGTTGGAAGCTAGTCAATCAAAACAGACTGTTACTTGTATCTATAGGGGTCTGACAGAATTGTTGGAATTTAGCCAATCACAACAGACTGTTACTTGTTGTCTATAGGGGTCTGACAGAATTGTTGGAAGCTAGTCAATCAAAACAGACTGTTACTTGTATCTATAGGGGTCTGACAGAATTGTTGGAATTTAGCCAATCACAACAGACTATTACTTGTTGTCTATAGGGGTCTGACAAAATTGTTGGAATTTAGCCAATCACAACAGACTGTTACTTGTTGTCTATAAAGGCTGGAAGAAATGTTGGTAGATTGGGAGAACAGCTTCCAAATCTCGTATAGTTGCGGAACATATCACGTAACACATAAGATATTAATAATATCTGACGAATCATACAAAACACAAGTTGATATCTGACGAATCATACATAACACAATCACATGACTGATATCTACTGAATCATTCATAACACAATCAGATGGCTGTTATCTGACGAATCATACAGAACACAAGCTGATGATTTATATCTGACGATTCTGGCTCGCCACATATAAACGCTGTCTAGAAACAAATGAACCAAAAAATGGCCTGAGTAAAAAAGTTACACTGTCTAGGAAATAATAATATAATGCCATATACTAGGTCAACAGGGAATACTGTCTAGGAAGTAATAATATAATACCACATACTAGGTCAACAGGGAACACTGTCTATGAAATAATAATATAACACCATATACTAGGTCAACAGGAAACACTCTCTAGGAAGTAATAATATAACACCATATACTAGGTCAACAGGGAACACTGTCTAGGAAGTAATAATATAATACCACATACTAGGTCAACAGGGAACACTGTCTATGAAATAATAATATAACACCATATACTAGGTCAACGGGGAACACTGTCTAGGAAATAATAATATAACACCATATACTAGGTCAACAGGAAACACTCTCTAGGAAGTAATAATATAACACCATATACTAGATCAACAGGAAACACTGTCTAGGAAATGATAATATAACACCATATACTAGGTCAACGGGGAACACTGTCTAGGAAATAATAATATAACACCATATACTAGGTCAACGGGGACACTGTCTAGGAAGTAATAATATAACACCATATATTAGGTCAACAGGGAACACTGTCTATGAAATAATAATATAACACCATATATTAGGTCAACAGGGAACACTGTCTAGGAAATGATAATATAACACCATATACTAGGTCAACAGACACTGTCTAGGAAATAATACTATAACACCGTATACTAGGTCAACAGGGAACACTGTCTAGGAAGTAATAATATAACACCATATACTAGGTCAACAGGGAACACTGTCTAGGTAGTAATAATATAACCCCATATACTAGGTTAACAGGGAACACTGTCTAGGAAGTAATAATATAACACCATATATTAGGTAATTTCTTGAAACGAACTGATATGAATATTCGATAGATACAGTTGTAAATTTTGTTCCTGTTTCAAACACCATGTTGCCGTTTCTTACCTGTAATTACCTTGTGCTGCACGAGATGTCGCAATATTTGACTGTTACCACTGAAGCCATTCAACCAGTGAAGAGTTAAAGATCTGCTCGTGACATTAACGACTGTTAAGTTCCACGGTGGGTCGGGTGGTTCTGAAAACAAAGAAAAAACTGTTTACTTTAGGTCGAAAACAGCGTGTTTTACACAGATGAATTGTTAACAGTTTTTAATATTTATGTAGGTTTATAGTAAGAACTGTCAACTATGTAGTTTTACACAGATGAATTGTTAACAGTTTTTAATATTAATGTAATTAGAAAAAAGGACCTGGTATAAAGTATACTATTTGTCTTCTGTTTTATTCTAAACACATTATGTACGATACGTTTCTCATCTTGTTTGTTTGTCCTACTAATCTCATGATATCATGCAAGTAGAACGGAGAATCTAGCAATCTAATATAAAGCGAGTTATGGCGTTCTGTAAACAAAAAGAGAATGACCTAGTAAGAATTAAAATATATTATTATTTACAGAGAAAGAAGGACCTAGTAAGAATTAAAAT